AAAACCGGACTGAAAGACACATACAGTTTGTTTTAGCAGAATCTGTCATAGAAACCAAATCAATGGATATATGGTAGATATTCTATGCATTTACAGATGCCAACACAAGAAAAGAGGCAAACTAAAGGAAGAAACCTAGATCATTTTGTAGAAACCACACGTTGGAATTAGGCTGCATATGTGTAGGTTTTCAATACTATAACAGATGGATAAATTTGCCAATTCCTTACAAGGATCCATATTCAGAAGCAACAGAAACCTTCAGGAATAAGAAAAGCTAAGTGTACATTGTCAAATTTATAAACAATTTCTGTCTTCTAGACTGTATACAACTTCATTAAGGAATAAAGTATTCATCTTATACTAAAAGCAACCAGCTGCTCAAAAGCTGATAAATCTCACAAGTATTAACATCACAAAAATATTCTAGTTTGTATTAAAAACAGTACTACTGCTAACCTTTTGAATTCCTCACAACTATGGATTCTCCAGTAATCAACATGCTTTCCATCTTCAGACATGTATGCTTCAATGATTGCATAAGATAGAAACCTCAACCTTGATGCTATTTCAGTGACAGGCTTGGGTTTAACTTCGAACATGCCCCTTGGAATATTGTAGCATTGAGTCATGATAACTGGATCATGCTCCAAAAACCGATACAAGTGGTTTCCATCCTCAAATATGTTCTCACTGTATGCACATGAAATTAAAATATTAATACAAATCATCAAAGTGATTCTAAAGTGCAAATTCTGATCCATTCAGACAGTCAACCACATGTGGGGGAATAATTTTAAATGCCAAATGCTATTGCAGAATTCTTACTCCAAAACATGCCGGAAAAAGTGTTGGCTGACAAGCTTTCTTCCAAATTCCACTGCCTGCATTTAATAAAAAAGATAAGAAAACTTGAAAATGTACTATATATTTGCATGTGCTTTTGAAGAGAATAATAATGTGAAATTTGAAAAAATGAAGTAAATATAACTCATTACACTTTTACTAATAGATTCTATATGTAGCCACAAATGATATGTAAGTTTCCCGATGCATGAACTCTTCGAAGTTGGCTATGCGAGCAAAGAAAAGGCAGTTCATCAATCATATCAATAAAAAAAGAAAAACCTTCACAATGATGCTACTTCAATAGACAAGATTCAAGAAAATATTTGATGTACATAACATTGTTATACGACTTCGATATGGTTTACATTAAATTGACATATTAAAATTTTTTATGTTACTAATTCCAAAAAAGAGCATCCACCCTGCATATCATAGGCTTTCAGGCTGCTTTGTTCCATGTAGAAGGATATTTGAAGAGCGAATGAAACATATAGGTGGTAAATATTTTAGAATTCTTGTTCCTGCAGAGAAAGTGGTCTGTACTTTGTTCCTCTTGTCAGTAGTAAGAAACATCAAAGCAGATATTAAGCTACAAAATATGTCCGGGGACTAACCTCTTCTCTTTCCAAATACTGATCGTCAGACAGAAAATCCACAGCTTCAGACCCAAGAAAACAATTGCTAAACCTTCGCATCTTGTAGAATCTGTCTTTAAGAATGATTGACTCTTTCATTTTCCTGACAACTGAGGCCAACTCATCAACCTTTCCACTGCCAGATTCATCATCTTCACCAGGCAATGGTGGCAAAGGAGCTGTAGGTGGAGGTTCTTCACTGAAAATACCTTTAATTTTCTCATCAAGCTGTCCTGAATCATTCATAGTCTCAAGTTCAGTTAATCCCCCAACAAGAAAATCATTAAACAACACCTTTGGAACAGCAGAAGATCCTGTGATTTTCTCTAACTCAAACTTTCTAGTAGGGAATATATCTATGTTGATTTCAACAAATCTTAGTCTCTTCTGACGAAATAAAGACCTAACTCGTTTGCAATCTTGGCAACCCAGCCTTGTATACACCATAATTCTGCCCCTCATGGTCGGCTCATCGGTGGAACATCCAAAAAGAGTGTCCTCGGCATGCCCAGTTTTGCTATCAGTGACCACATTACGCCCAATCTTGATAAAGTTTAGAGGGTTCCAAGCTGATTGGTCTCTTACTTTCTGTGAGACCTCTTTCTGTCTGGGATCAGAACTTCCATTATCATGTTTTACAGAACCTTCAGTTTTTTCATCTGTGTCAGCAGTCCCTTCATCATTTTTCCCAGAAAGGCGACGAAGCACTGTGGAAACAGCAATAGAGCCCTTTTCCTTGACAAAGTTTTTCAGTGCAACGGCTTTTTCAGGCCAAGCATTGACTTGCACATCTGGATCAAGATCGAAAGTTTGACTTGAAAATTCCAAATTTGCTTCTAGTTCAGGAGTCTCGGTTCCGTCAAAAACAGGGTCTGTTTCCTTCTCTTCAACAAAAACTTCCTCTGAACCATGTTTTACTTCTTTTAAATCCTTTATATCCAAATTTCTACTTTCATGAACCTGATGCTCTGTGCTTTGATCATGCTTTTCCGTTTCATATTCGTGCTGATTCAACCCGTCACGTAGGTTCTCACCCTGAAGTTCAGCACCTTCTTCACTAACATTCACAGATTTAATAGCAACTGATAGGCATCCTTCACCCTCTCCAAGAGCATCACTTGGATCAGTTGCAGAAGTCTCAGGGGTTGATGAGTCAATCAAACTCTTCTCAAGTTTGTCGTCGTCCCCCATGGTGCAGAACAGGTGTGCAATCGTGTAACCAAGTAATTCAATCACTGTTCCACCTAATCCTATTCCAAACTGGCATTCAAAGAACAATTCTGCAAGAGGAAAGAATAAAAATCTTTATTCATTATGCAAGAAGAACAAGAACATATATTGACGAGACAATTTTACTACAGCCATGAACAACTTAGGAACACTTACTGCTAGACCTGAAGTTCCTAAAACTGAATTTATAACCTTGAACAAGCAAAAGAACATATTTGCGACAATGATTCAAGTCTATCAAGTTAATGTCTCAGTCATCTCATCGGATCAGATCATGACAAGCATCATCAGAATAAATATAGTATTGGGCATGGTGACCAGAAGAGATACCATTGTTAACTCGGGTCTAAAATTTTGGTATTAATAATTTAGACTTATCGAAATTAATGGGTCAATATATCTAGACAAGAGCATTACTTTTACTACAATGCACGTTAAAAGCTTTAAGAAGCTATTGGTTCACCTAGCGTGACACTTGAAAGGTTCGAGAAGAATTAAATTACCTGCCAAACCAACTAAATCACCAGTACTCAAAACCATTTGGTATAAAGCTATAATCTCCAATCCAATTTGACATTAATGATACAAAAACTCCACTAGAATCTCTCATCCAACTTGAGAACATCAAGAGTATCATCCATATCCCCGATAATACTAGTAAAAATATTCATTCTTTATAGCAAATAGAAAACCTAAAAGGAAAACAGTAACACAGAAAACCGCCATCTCTAAAACCCCAACACAAAAGATCCGTTCACAACAAACATCAGCAGAAGGCATCGGAGAACGAACCAGCCGACCGGATGTGCTCCCGCGACGACAGAATGGAACAAATCCAAGACCGATGCGCCTAGACCAAGATCGATTGACCAAAACGGAAGAAGAATTCCACAGAAACGAGGACCAAAGGGGAAGATGGATCGGGAAGCGGGGTTAGAAATGCCGTGGATCTACGAAAGAAGAAGAAGAAGAAGAAGAAGAGATCGGAATCGGAACGAATGGGAGGAAGAGAGACAGTGGTCAACTCGAAGGGGGAGTAGAAAAGGAACACAAAAAGAGAGATTGTCCGAATAAGAACGGGTCCGAAAGCGGGAATGGCGGGCGAGAACTCGATTGGCGTCGCCACGGACCCATCGGTCCATTAAACTGGGCCGGATAAGGCCCACATTAGGTGTAGGATTTGGACTAGGAGACTGCAACGCCTGCTTTGAGATTCCCAAACCGTGATGGTGATGACATAACACGTCGCCTAAAGCTTGTCGGAGGAGGATTTGTGGCCTAGGATTTGGACTGCGAGACTGGAACGCCTGCTTTGAGACTCTCCTCGTGAAGGTGATGACGTAATACGTCCTCTCTCTATCTCTCTCTCTCTCTGTGCAATGGTGACATAATAAAGGGTTAGTGGAAGACCCTTAAGCAGAACTCCACTGCATTATATTAGTTTCGATCGCCATTTTCATCTAAAGATAAAACCAGTGGAGTCATCATGTCACTGTAATCTAACGCAATAACATTCCAGTGGCCAAATCATCTATAGTGACCTTTCGATGACTGTCGACTCGCTGCTCGCTCATCCCTGCAAATGAATGCTATCTTTACCTTTGGTAGCTTAACTTACGTGACCGGTCCGGTGATCCCCGAGTGCGTGCACTCATGCATGTCTAACGGAAACTGCTATCACACAATTCCCGCCGGTGTTCCTGCACTGGGAAGCTCCTATATATGAGAGAGAGTGTGTGAGAAGGCATTGGAAGTGCAACGCACATCAATCAAGAGAGCATGGCCGTGCTGATCCAAAAACTTGCTGCTATTCTTCTGCTGCTTATGGTTGTGATCTCAGGCGAGGTAGATGCAGTTGCCAGTGACCTGATGAAAGAAATGGAGCCAGATACAAAGTTCTTGTGGTGCAGGCACATGTGTGATGATATGATGGGCGTCTGCGTCTACGAGAAGTGCATGATGATTCCCATCGGCCAAGGCCACGGCCGGTGCCATATGCTTTGCGAGGAGTCACATCTCAAGTGCAACCAAGTTTGCATGGAGATGTCATCTGCACCGACGCCGTGATCCAGTCGCTCTCTCTTTCTCTCTCTTCACCAACAAATAAAACTGGGAATCAGGACCAGATGATGTAATAAACATCCTGCGTGTTTCGAACATGATGGAAACAGATGTTTTGCGCCTGCTGTAGTCAACTATATATATCACGTTCATGTAAGAAGAAACCAAACTCTAAAAAGAGGTCATTCATGTGTTTTTATCGATGAACTCTTTTTTTTTTTTTTCTTTTTTCAAGAGAGTAAGAGAACAAAGATAAAATAAACTATGTAACAATTACTTAACACGATGATGATGTAAAATCATGAATGGTACATAAATTCCTGATCCGATCTCACGTTCTCAGGTGAAGTAACCTCGGGTTCAATCGCCAAAACTTAAATCTCTCTTACACAAACCAGTCAGAAAGAATCCTTTGGCAATCCAAAAACCATGTGCTTCTCCGGGAGTTGCATGGAAACTCAGCTAGATGAGATGCGCTTTCTTCAGAAAGCGGATGGTTCTGCAATAGTACGGCCATATTGATTCGACGTAATCGAGGTACTTCTCGACAGCCCATGTCACAAATTGTTTGTACTTTCTTCTGGAGAAAGCTCCATAATCCATGTTCTTGATGTCGACAATAGGCTTCACGAAATGGTCCCACAGATATGCTCTAAGCTTTCCTTCGGCTATGAAATTATAGACCAACAGAGAATACCTAGGCAGATTCTTTATCAGTCTAACAGCCTGCATGAAGACGAAAACATATAGAGAACATAGACCTTGAATGATCTTTATGTAGAGAGCAAATATAAGTGGCCCAAGTATCCATAAAGGCATCAATTCCTTCGTCACTTCGGCTCCATAGACCATCTTGACCGTCAGATACCAAGGAATGCTGCAATAAAAAGCAGCTCAATCAGCATATGCAAAGCCTTTATTCTAAGTAAACTCTATTTTTCCTGCACATTTTCTTAAAGAAGAGAAAATCCAACAACTAGCACAGGAATTTTTTAAGAAAGACACCTAGTTAAGCCTGTTACACCAGAAAACTAGCATAAACAGCCTCTTGCACTTCTACCAGTTGCAAAATGACAGCCATTAGAGAGGAGTAGAGACACATCTTAAAGATACAAAAAATCCATAGAATAATACAAACATTACAACACAACAGAAGGGGGAAGAAAATAATAATAGGCAGGAAACTCACCATTCTAGAATCGCTCATGTTATCTATGCTCTATATAAAACTGGAAACAATTAAATAAAAAATGTAACTTAATGAAAAGGTTGATTGTGGATTATATTGTGCAACAATAGAGTTGTTGGATGTCAATGAATAGATTATTTAATTCACTAAACATGACTATAACCAAGGAAATAATTAATTGCATATCTTTACTCACATATAACCATCATCAATATAAGGGGCCGAACGGTCGACTGGCAGCCTTACAGATTGACTAATCATCATGGTTTAAATGGGTAGGGGAATTTAGACACAGTTAATTTGCAATACCAGGAAGTGCTGGATAACAACACCTCCCACAGGATTGTGGTGTTCCAGTGTGCCGTGTGACTGTAGGATCTCAGACCTCATAAACGTGTGTTTACCATCAACTCTTGTAGCTACCATACAAAAGGCTCAGTTGCTAATTACATACATCTGGTCCATTTTCAGGGTTATATAACAATTTGAAATTATCAGAGCCATTGGGGGAGTAATTATAAAATAATAGTAGTAGAGACAGCCGTTATAGCCAACAGAGAGAACTACTAAAGCAGTAAACTATTTAGATACCTTCACAGGTAAAGATGCGACCTTTCAACTTATTTAAACAATCTAAAACCATATATGAAATGATGAACACAATAACAAGGACGTAAACAGGTCTTCCTGTTAAAAAGCAAGAAAAACCAATCTTGAAACTTACAATATCACAAGTGGGATAGATACAGCAGCATCAAGTCCCAAAAAGTACACTAGTGCAGTCTTCAAAACTTTAGCTGCCTGTCTTCCCATTGTTCCATGTTGGCTTTCAGATGAAACAGACTGGACTACTGTTCCACTAACATTGTCATCCATTGTGTGATTAGATGTATGACTGCGTAACATGACCAACCAATTTCGGAACAGTCTTTGAATTGCTAGAGATCTTGCTGTAGTGCTGTCTGTACCTTCTGAGGAATAAGATAATTGATGGTTTTGGACATCATGAGATTCTGATAGCACATCCTCTCTTCCTTGCTGCATACCAGATATCTGGACTGGTGGTCTGGAAATTTTTGAGTTTCTTTTTTCAGGTCCATCATTCTGTGTATTGCTTTTAAAAGAAGAGACTTTAAAACCTTTTCTCTTCTGTACTGAGATGGGCCATTCCCTGACATGGCACAGTTAACTTGGCATTAGAGTTGCTAACATGTGAACAACATTAGCGCCACAAGAACCTGAATGTAAATGGATCAAAAACACCCTAAATGCAAAATTGACTCAGGATGAGATTTAGTTAGCATGAAAGAAGAAGTCCCTACTCATATAATTAGGCAACCGTATGTTTTTGCGCAAGTGCGTGAAGCATCTCACTATGCTACCTATGCCTTCCTTTGGGCAAGCAAGGTCTGCTAGTGAATTGATTCTTCAAGAGGCTCTCTCTCTCCGAAGTAGGTGTTTCAATGTTGAAATTCAAGAAAATCCTACTAAATAAGAACCACAAAGACCATTCTTTCTTTTAATCATGAACGAAAAACTAAACCATAACACCTTGATAAAATTTTGAGGAACTATATCAATATCCCTTAACAATGATTCAAATCTTACATAATCTTAAGCAGGTCACAATTCAAGATTATCAGGTTAAACAGAATGATGCTGAGGAAGAAATCTTTTAGCATATCAAAAAACTGAGTAATGATGTTATAAAGTGTAATTTAGCATATGAAGAGTAAATGTTCAACCATGTATTTCAAAAAGTGGGTGTATGAGCATTTCTTGCAAAAGAAAAGGCTCAGCAAAACAAATTGAACAATATTAAGTGAAGGCGCATAGAGTTATAGTCATCAGCAGCTCATATTTCCAAGAAAGCAATAACACTAACTTCATGATACCAAACTAGCTAAAGAGCACATACCCATGTAAAAGTAAAACTGAAAAACTTCATTTTATCACCTTCCAAAAGACAAATGAAAATGAGTTAGACAAAAAATCACTACATGTTTGATAAAGTCAACCAAGGTTGGATCCTTAGTGAAAATAGTAAGACTCAAAATTTCAAATATTGTCACATATTTTATCAACAAATACTAACTGACCGAAGTGATAAAAGAAGCTCAAAATTCAACCTCAACTTTCCTAAGTTATGACCAATCATCATTTTCTACCAGTACAAGACTTCAAGAACAAAATGGAATTTCTCAAAACTATATAAATAAATCTGACAATAGTTCGGCATAAACAATGGCTCACAAATCTGACAATAGTTCGGCATCAACAATGGCTCTCAAATCTGACAATAGTTCGGCATCAACAATGTTTCAAAATGAATATTTCCATGGAATTATTGCGTACTAAAGAGACTATGATGATACAATGTAATAGTTTTTAACCAAAACAATAAAAAAATTAATCCACCAACATTTATTAATGTGCTTTAAAAATGTTACATCTTTGCGAAATATAATTCCATCATGTAAGATTAAGGCATCACATTCATACTCTTATACAACACCAATCTGTGTGATATAATTTGCTTCTTAGATAAACACTGGAACAAATGATTTCTTTGTCCTTATACAGCAACACTTGTAATATCAACTGGCCCTCATAGAAAAGATAACCAACAAACATCCTTGATCACTTTGCAGCACCCTTCCACAATCAATACTGTATCATGATGCCATCATGAGGAACACTAATCTTAATTTAATTAATTGCAAATGTTCATCCTAGTGTTACCAAAATAGTTATCATCAGTGAACATTTTCAAGAAACATTTACAATTTGTTTTAATCAAACAAATATGATTTCTTACACAAGCTGTTTAATTCCAACAAAACAGGTAGCATTCACAGAAGAATAAAAACCAAAGAAGTTGTTCAAATTCCCAGATATTTCAGGTTTGAGAAATATCCCAGTTAGAGAGAATACTTCTCTGTCTAAAATTTAGTACTTGGGGAAAAAAAATGTAAATGTCTCTTAGGGTAAGGACTTGACACCACAGTGAACTTTGAACACAGTGCAAGAGTTCAAAAGTCGATCTCTTTACTTGTGAGGGTACAAGACTGCATTCATTAACCTTCTTAAAAAAAAGTGTCCCAGTGATCGAGGCTTCCACCAATGCGAAGTCTAGGGATGATCAATGCACGTAACCTTACCTTTAAATATTTAAAAAGGATACTTCCATGACTTAAACCCTGGTCTTCAAAGTCGCAAAGGAACAATCTTACCATTATACCAAATACATTAACCTTCTCTAGAACCCAAATTGGTGGGACCTCATGCACTTTTCAGGTAATATATAGTTCCTCTATTAAAGCTATCCCTAGAAACTATGTCGTTTTAACTTTAGTTACTTGAAATATGGAATCTCATGGTTGTGCTATTTTGATAACTTTGCTATTCTGATAGTTACTCAAATATGTACTTCAGATTTTCTGGTAACTTTGCTATTTTGAGCCTATGTTAAGTAGATCGTCAAACAGGAATTATCTAATCAGCTTAGATTATTAAAACCAAACAACAACCATGGTTTTCCCTTTTTTTTGCAATCTGATTAGAGTATACGAATTCAGGAAGCAAAATACTGTGAGTCAGAATCTGAAATTCAATCATAACTAACGGCAAGCAGGGGTGCAGTGATCTTCATAATGCAGTTTTAACAAACCTATAAGGTAACAATTATTCCAGTGACCTCCACACTCCATATCATGTATTCTATCTTTTGAGAAGGCAAATATAATAATTATGGTACAACTGGGAATGATCATTTACTGAACTCTTACCTGAAATGAAAGTGATGCTTCAATGGCACAAACTCATGTGTTTTATAAAGGAACTGAACAGCTGAAGACCCCCAACTCAATCTTTGAATCGGTGCTTTAGAACTTATTAAATGTGGTGAAAAAGAAACCTGAAGGTCAACAAGAATCGGTAAAATCTTAGAACAATCAATATTATAATTTTATACTAATCATAGAGAATATTGGCATACATGACATACTAAGACAGAAACTAAAGGCATAAAGTGCAGATGAATGTTAGGCAATGCAGAAGCTGAGAAATTGGTAGTGTGGAACTGTGGGTTGAACATTAAGAACCTGCGTCTGATGCGCTATCAATGCCATTTCACCTACTTCAGACCCACATCTCTCAAACCTAAGGGCATTGGATTCCAGCACAGAACTGCAGCAATGCAAGTGTTCAGTTATTCAGTTCATTTACATGTCCCTAACTGGGTTGTGCTACAAAAATCTAAGAATTATGAAACAGTAAGCACAACAATATCAGATTGTTCACAGAACTGCAGCAATGCAAGTGTTCAGTTATTCAGTTCATTTACATGTACCTAACTGGGTTGTACTACAAAAATCTAAGAATTATGAAACAGTAAGCACAGCAATATCAGATTGTTCACAGTCGGAGGAAATCTTATTGTTGCAATACAAAGAAACAATTTTAAAAACCTACACTTGACTGACATCAAAGATCAAATATATTAGTTCCTTCTGCAAAAACACATATTGATAGAGAACACAAACAAGCCAAAAAAACAGTCCCTTCACTATAATTATTCCAAACTAGCTGAATCGACAGTAAGCTTGAAAAGGAACTGCAACCATGAACTAGTAACGAGTCCACAGAACATTTTTCTTGACGCCCTGAGTTGTGACACTCAAACAGATAACCCCGAAGTCTTTGTATCACGAAACATAGTGACCGCCACAAAAACAAAAAAAAAACAAAAACAAAAGAACGAAAAAGAAATGGTAACAAAGATAAACCCTAGAACAAGTCGAAGAACATACAGTGGAAACGAGAGGAACTCGAAATAATACCACCAACCAAAGCGGCAGATAAAATATCAAAAACATCATCGGGAAGCATAAAACGACGCTCTTACGAGGATACTTTAATTTGGAATGAAGCTAAAAATGCGAAACCCAAACAAACAATTAGGAAGACCAAGCAGTTAAAAGTACTTAAAAGGCCAATTCAAAATACGCTCGATCCAACAAAACTAAATTTCAGAGGAAAACTCCTATAAATTTGAGTCACGGTGGGAACATATATCACAGAAAACAATGAACATCTCGGCCGAAAAATGTAACACAAAGAATATTTTAATTAGGAAGAAGGAAAGAAGGAAGAGGGAGAGTTGCGCCGAACCAAAGGGGAGTCCGTTTCGCCGCAACTACAGGAGGAGGCTGGGGTTGAATTCCCAATCTCTCCCCTCTTTTCCCTCTCTGTGTGCACGGGGAGAAGGACGACGACGCAGCGGGGACGAGGCGAACGGCGAGAGGGAGAGAAGAGGGGTCTCGGATTAGGTTTGTTTCGGGAGCAGATAGGACATCGAGAAAGTTAAATATATATATATGTATATGCAAAAGTAAAGGACACGTCGATATATAATCGTAAATTTTTAAAAATAAGAAAAAGAACCGAGTGTATTAATTTTTTATTTGTTTTTTTTTCTTAATAAAAACCATATATCTCCTGCCGTGTGCGGCAGCCGGTGATGGACCCACCGCCACAAAGACTGGTGGCGCAGAAGGCGCGGCGACGAGGCGACCAATGTTGACGGACTCGTCGACCCAAACGTCAAATTGACAGGGTCGAGTCTGGCTAACATGGATTTGCCATTACTATATGGATCAATATTGATATAATAATCTATGACCAGATCAATCAAACATGTTAACCATACTATCACAGAGAATGGTAATAAAGAAACCAAAAAAAGTAACTCGTTCCAACCATAATCACATATGTTCTCATCGCGAGCTACAATAATGATCATGAGATTGAGATTATTAGCTTTGATTTCTTGGTTTGGTTTCTGGGAGGAGTACTTGGTGGCAGATTCAGTAAAGCTCATCAATAAGCACAACAAACCCCATTCACAATAGTTGCAGCTTTGCCTATTTTCCTTACGTCAAAGGAACATGGTAACCAAAACATTAGGTTTGGATGATCTGAAAGAAACATAGATGCGAATCAGATCCACTTACAACACAACATCAAGACAACCCAAGCTATATATAAAACTCATCTGGCCTCACTAGATGGACAAAGAAAAAAATGATGAGAAAACTTACGACAAGGCAAAGGATAATATCTGTAATATCACAAGAAACAATTATGTCCATTACCATTGGTGACGAGCGGGAAGATGGATTTCATGTGGAGGCCTCCAAGAGCTGATAGGTGAATACCGCTAGTGCATTCTGCAGGTGATTAGACCGCAGATCTTCTGGAATAGGAGCACTGAGCATCGTATCAAAGCAGCTCATCCGAACCATCGGTGTCGAGCTCGTACCAGGAGTGGATACCAATAGATTGCAAAGCTCCTCTGACATCTTCGAATAGGTTAACCTGCAGATCAGCGTGCCAAAAATAAGAGTTTGGTGAAAGTTTTGCCTAGACCTGTCTAACAAGTCAGGAGGAATCTCCAGGTCGAATAGGTTAACCTGCGGATCAGTGAGCCAAAAATAAAAGTTTGGTGAAAGTTTTGCCTAGACCCGTCTAACGAGTCGGGAGTAATCTCCAGGTCAAATTTGTTTGATACCAACTTCTATCTAACCTCGATAAATTTCCACGAAACTTACATCACAGAACTTTGTATTAACAATTACTTCCTCTCCAACTAAATGTACTGGTAAGAACTAACTGAAAATGGCAAGAAATACAGATATATTACAGTGAAACAATCTATTATAAATTGTAGTGATTTGCATCACTGACTATCAGTTATGACCACATGTTATCTATCGGGGAATCCTTGCCATGTAAACCTTTAAAGGTAAAGGAAAAAACATGAAGAGTTTCATATGCCAACTGGAGAATAGCAACTCCTTCCTTCTTCAAAAGGATTTCCAGGTTAACACAAAAAAAGCCCAAATTATGGGGGTGAAACTGTAAACTTAAAAATTATCCCTGACAAAATAGGTCTTAGATAAAGTCAAAAAGGTTTCACAACTAAATAATGGAATGGTCAAAAGCTTGGTAGTTCAGACTGTAGAAGATAACTTACAAATAGCAATTCCATAGAACAAGAGAAATGAAAATTTACCAATTCTTTTATTGGATTTCCAATTTCAACCAAAGTAACACCGGTCAAGAAAACTGCAATGCCAGTCTTGGATAGATCATAACTGCTCATATGGCAGAAGGCATGCACAACGAAATAGTATTGAGGCAGGTCTGATGAACAGGAATCATAGATTTTAGCATTGACTCTGTATTGCTAAAGCTTCTAGTACCAGATGTGGAATATACAATAACAGAAAATGCTAAGGAGGTTTTCCATACCTTGCATCAACAGGTAATCTGCTTCCCCAGACCGATAGAGAATCACTTAGGCGATTGAAGAAACTTCTGCATGCTTCATTTTTATTTCCAAGAGTGTCCTACAGAAAGATGAAACGCAATCCCAACATTAATAATAAATTAGACTTGCTGTTTGTTTGTTTACAAAAGGACTCCAGATAAATATAACCACAGAGGCCAAGAAAATATGAGATCAGAAAACAAAATACTACAAATTAAAGCATATTAAAAATTGCCACATATAAAATTTTACCACATGAATATATTGTTAGATAACTCAAGGTATTCAGACATTTTTATCAGAACTACATGAAGATTTTGACTAGCTGTATCAAGTATTTCATACCAACTACGCTGCAAAAGAAAAAGAAACACCCGAGCCTACTAGATCAAAGCAAACAAATGCATGAACGCCAAATATATAAGCAAATGAGTATCTGGGTCAATAAATTGTAGCTTATGAATGCACAGTCCACAAAACCATCAGAAGAAACAGCAATTTTGGTTCTAGTCTAATTTGCAGATAGTTGTGTGATGTTCTCATCGTTTAACAGCCAATAGATAATCAGTAATGATGTTTCTTTTCTAACAAACAACTATTTGCAGATTTTAGCATGGGGACAGGATAAAAATCATACTGATTCACTCATGCTGTCCTCCTCTTGCAATGAACTTCTTAGAACATAGAAATCAATATAAATTCCAGCACCCAGGTCCCAGTCAGCAATTTTTGACTTGTGCTCTTCCATGGAGCTTGTTATTCTCCAAATCTCTTCATCTTGAGCTGAGAAACATGTCATGAAATTGGTAAACATCTTTTGTAATTTAATGAAGTATTCTTGAAGCATGATGCATCATTTTAGTTGATCTGATCAAGATTATTGTACATGCAATATCAACAATTAGGATACTATACCTAATCTATTCTCACAAATTGAATCTGTAAGGACATAGTTTGTCAACAATCAACTACATCACATATTTCAATCTTCAAAGAGTGAAGGTAGCTTGAATCATGCAATGAAATATTTTTGCAAAATTTTCAGCTAAACCAATTTGGCTTCAAGTAACCAGGTCAACAACTGGTTTGACACACCATAGCTAAACTGGAAATCATACTGGTATGTATCAATAGGTCCAAGGACAGAAATCTGACAAACCATTTGACAAGGTGTCACATAATTTAACCATCAATAATAATTGAGAATCCAGATGGTTATAAACAAGTGTACCAACCTAGGAGATGTACAGAATTACACTCATCTAACATCATCTACTAACGAAAGAAAATTTGAGATCAAGTAAACATGTTTAATACGAACCATTATTTCAAGCAGATACCATAACCTCTTTTATATCATTAATGCTAAGCATTTTCGCCTTTCTTAATGCTAAAAAACAATGCCAACAGTACAAAAAGCTATATATTTTGCTATCATGAAAAAATTTTCAAGCATGTATCACATTGGTGAAAAAGAACAATTTCACAATTAGTCAATGGTACTCAACTGTAATTTTTTTTTTCAGTTGCACACATTTATCATGATTATCATGACTATCTGTATCTCGGTTATCATTCCCATTCTAACAAGTTTCTATCCAGATCAAGTGATACTGCAGCACATTGTCAGAAATGTTTTAGGCATATAACTACCCCATTGTGACAATGTGAGATATCAACAATCATAGAGCCACCCTCATACTTACATGATAGAAATAAGTAATGAGCCACTGATGTCATGAAAATTGAATGAGCTTTTTGCCAATTCGAGCATTTAAGGAAATGTTCAAGGGCTTCCTGCAAGTCTCCATGATACTCGAAGTATATCGCCTAAGATAAAAGGAAACAGACATGTCATTCTTTTCCATTTACAAACAAAATAAATTTCTTAAATCAGATAAAATTAATCATCATCTTCCTTCTGTGGCATTTCAGAAAGTTTAAATTTAAAGTTAATATGTCTTGGGTAAATCAATGACAAATCCTGAACATCCAATGGAATGCAAACGATAATGCATACCAGAGCTTCATGCATCCATTCTGATGGTATACCAAGATCCTCAAGGAACTGATACTGAGTCTCCTGAGTGCTCCAAGTTTCACAATTCTGTAATAGAATTTCCTTAATAAGCTTAGTCTGGATGTATGGGACATCAGCATGGTAAGGCATGTGAAGAACGACATAAATAGCCCAATGGCACTGCTCAAGACATAGCAACTGGTCAACATAGCTCATGTCAAGTACGTTTAGCTCTTTGGAATTAAATGCACCAATAGCTTCCAATATGGCACGCTGATGCCAAATCATGTGGAAGTCAAGTGGATCATGAGTCGAAGAGAAGGCACTGAACATGGTTTTTAGAAGGCTGAAGTCATCATCCTCATTGGCATGAAGCAGCATGAGATAATACGCTAGGTCACAGTTATCATCAATGTTCAATTCAATGGCTTCTTCAAGGGGTCCTTCATCAATGTAAACTGGGACCGGATGTGGAGCTCTTCCTTCACTTTGAAGCTGCTGATAAGTATGAAATATCACAGGAAGTGGAGTATCAGGAGGAAGTTGATACCACATTACCAGCCCTAGGTATCTTTTCCAGTCAACTGATGAAACCTGAAATGCACCTTGTATATTACCTGCAAGTAACTCATACAACTTCAACCTGTCATTCTCAATAAACTTGAAGTCCATCCCATTCATTCTCCAGAGATCTAACTGCTGAGCCATGTCAGAGCGATTAACCATTGACCCACCAGCCTGACTCAGTAAAATAGCCAATCGGACATCTCCTCTAGAAGCAGCAATCTCAGCTGCTGCATCCAGCTGCCGTCCACTTAAAAGTAAGAGTATCTGCTCCAGATCACTTGGATCATTTAAGCAGCTCACATCTTCCTGTACCCGGTGGCAAACACTATCTTGCAGCCAACAACTAAAAGCTGCTCTCCGAATGAATGGTTTTGCCTCAATGTCCATGTCAAGGGAGTCATCCTTCTTATCAAGCATCATTTCCTCACCATCATCATCATCATCATCATCATCATCATCATTATAGTTCAACCGTCCACTTGTTTCTCTCTCTGAGAATAAAACTTTTATCAGTTCCCAAATAGTTACCTGATGCATCAAAAACACACGAGAAGATGCGGATAACCCAGCGACCTCAAGCTGTTTCTCAATTATGTCAATATAAGCCCGGCAGATTTCTGAAAGAGTCAAGCGACTGCATACAACTTTCTGAAGCTTTATTTTGCAAGAACCAAGCTCAATTTCAGTAGTTTCATGTTCTAACAACTTGTGCAAGTTCAGAGGGGAACAAAAGCGCAAATCGACAAGATCCTCGACGATTTTATTTTTTTCATCTCTCACAGATTTGTCTATGGCAACTTTCTGTATGTAGATTTGAGAAGATAGCCCGCTGCTGGAACTGCCTACCGGAGTACCACTATGAACAAGGAGGCCATTTGGTCCCCATCCGACACGAAATGATCTTCCCATGAATAAAGCAGAATCAACAATATTTTTTGAGTATCCCCCAGTTAAAGGAGTTGCATGATTCTCCTCCATTTTAAAGCCTTCCACCTTTTTCACCCTAGTTAGCCCCTTTTTTTGGCCAGTCAGGAGAATGTCTCTTGAGGAGCTCAAGTCACTGTTACTTATATTATACTCGAGTAAAGCTTGCGGTGACTTTCGAATGGGTGAATGACTGGTTTTGTTCAAGGGCTTCCTAGAGGAAACTTGTAATGAACTTTTATGGCCAAGTTTTTTGGAACTGGTGCCTGGAGAATCCTCCTTTATGGGTTCCCTGTTATATCCAATAATCTTCTGGAAGGATCCATTATGTTCTTCGCACTCCTCTTCTGCAGCAAACATCAAGGCCCTCATTTCTTGCATTCTTACAGGATCAAGACCCAGATGAGCCGGAAGCGAATGAGACAACACAGGTCCAGCAGGATGCACATGAGATTCTTTTACCTCCACGGTTGATTCAATATTAGCATCATCCATAACTATATCTTCTTCCTCTTCTTCATCCAATCCAAATCTACTGAAATGCTGAACTAGGAAAGCCCATTCACCCCTTGACAAGTCAAATGAAAGAAAGCAAGCTCCTTGCTTCTCACAACTTCTCTTCAATATGTCACTGCATCTATCAGATTTGAGATACTGTGAGCCCAATGGTATTAGTTTAAGTATCAAAGTGACTTCAGCGGCTTTGTTAAGACCTTGACCCACCGGAGGCTTGTCGGCCTCATTACCATATACCACTACACAATGCCTGTCAAATTTGACAATCTGGTCCAAATTCAACCATCTAACATCAGTGTTTCCTAAGAATTTGATGTGCCCATAACCCACTCTTCCAACTGTAAAGTCTGGAACTCTACTGCAGTAACCTGAATCAACAATCTCATGTGCTGCCAACTCATCAATTGAGGGTTTAGTAAAATAGTCTGAAGAGCTCAGAGAAGGCAACAGGGATTCAACATCCCTACTGCATGATATTCTTCTTCTCTTACACTGAGCTAAGTTCACGGAAGTGCAATCATCCAAAATTGCTTCACTTTGACAATTACAAACAAAATGGGAGTCGCCCGTGCTGTAGTGAGGATTACATAGGATCCCTGATAATCCAAAGTTATGAGGAGTTTCAGTTTAGAAACTAATGTTCACCATAAAAATGATATTTTGGAAGGAAAATAGAGAAACAGAGATTCAAGTTTAAAAGCAGAGTGTTTAATTTCCAAATGATCCTATCAATCCATACATCATCAGTCCCTTACACATACAAAAGCCAAAATTATCTATATTATATCTTACTTGAGCCAAAAAGACTGAAGAATGGTATTTCCAATTCAAGCAGAACTGCTATCACTTATTTGACAAAGGAAGCCCCAAAATTTGTCCCTTCACATAAGTATTCCAGTCCAACTAAGCCCTGTTAGCTTGAAAAGGAACTGCAACCATGAACTAGTAGCAAGTCCATGGAACATTTTCTGTGATGCCCTGAGTTGCGACACTCAAAAAGATAACCCAAGTCTTTGTATTACAAAACATAGTGGTTACCACAAAAGCAAAAAAGCAGAAGAATGAAAAAGAAACAGTAACAAAGATAACCCTAAAACAAGTCGGAGAACATACAAAGGAGATGAGACGAACTCAAACTAATACAATCAACCAAAGCCGCAGATAAAAGAAGATCAAAAACATCATTGGGAAGCATAAAACAAGGGTCTTCCAAGGACACCAATAAGAATCATAAAAAAAATGGTTACTTTAAGTCAGAACATAGTTTAAAATGTGAAACAAGAATAAACAATTAGAAAACCATGCATTAAAAATGCTTAAAAGTCAAAATTAAAATATGCTCGATCCAACAAAACTAAATTTCAGAGTGAAAACTCATGTAAATTTGCATATAATGAAGACCAAAAGAATTATAACAATCCATTAAAAGACCTTCGCCGTCTTTCAATTCCATCTGCACGAATCCAGTCACAAATAATATTTCAAATCCACAACCCCATTGATTAGCAACCAAAACATCTCACAACACAGTTAAGGAGTAATTAGTAAGAATGCTGAGATATGAAATGAAAGTTAAAACATTAAAATAATCAAAATTAGCAGGTTCTTAAACAGAAAGTTTCCAGAATAACTTTAGACATCATAGTGTCTCATGAACCAGACTATTTTTTGTGCCTACTACTGTCAGTAGCAGTATAAAAAATCTACATATGCATCTTTTTAGCACCTTCTTTTCTTTTCTTCTAACTAGTGTTGAAGAACAATATCTAGAACCACTGGTTATAAAATTCAAGTACATGCATAATTGAGGTGCTCATATAACTAAGTACTAAAAATACCATCCAGATATTACAAGAATTTCCACCAATTCTAGGTTATTGAATGTGAAGCTTTCCTGGATTATTTATAGCTCCAATTTCAAAACTTGCAAGAACTGATACACAAGTCAAAATTGTGTGCAGTGTTGTCAAATGCGCTAGGCACTAAAAGGTGCCAGAGCTCCAAAACATCCGAGGTCTTAGGCGCTTGCCCAAGTGCAGCGAGGCAATGCCAATATAAAAATTATAAAATATTTAATTAAGGAGATAGACAATAAAAAAATACAAAATATGAATTTCATATCATTTCATAATCAAAATATCACCACTAAAATATCAAATTACATTTATTTAACCACCTATAAGGCATAGTATTAAGTTGTCCAAATATAATAAAAATTTTAAAAAAGAAAATTAACATCAAATGTCCAAGAATTTTGACAAGAATCCTAGCAGTGACAATTCAAAATCCTGATAGTGGCACATTCAGTAATTAACACGTTTCATAAACTATAATTAACTATTATTAATAAGAATTAACATTAGTGTAATTAACGACTCAATAGGAGGTAGGGGAGGGGGCTGAGAACACGAGGAGATCGGCTGAATGTAGAGGAAGGCGGGGGGCGGGGGGCTAACAGCGGCAGAGAGGGCCTGCGGGCTGGGGAAGAAGTAGACAGAGAAAGTAGAACAGGGGACGAGGGACGAGGGACGAGAGACGACGACTTGCTGAGGTCTGTACAGCCGGCCGTTGGGGCTGTTGATAGCCGCCGGAAGAAAGAGCAAGGGGGTTCGAGGGGGGAGAGAGAGTCTGTTGGGGAAAAGCAGAGAGCGCGGGAAGGGGGGGCTAAACTGCCGGCCAGCGGAGCCAGAGAGAGAGAGAGAGAGAGAGAGGAGGAGGAGGAAGGGACAGCGCAGAGAGTGGAGAGCAACGGTGAGAGGGAGAGGGAGAGAGAGGACAGAGGAGAAGATACTTCCGTCAGCAAGAGGGGAGGCACGCTGTTGGGCCGCCCGCCTTACGCACGAAAGGAACTCGTATCAACACCATCAACAAAAATTCCGGATAAAACAAGATCAAACCCATCATCGGAAAGAATAAAGCGACGATTTCACGAGGATTCAAACAAGATTCGAAACGAAATGGTAAATTGCCAAATATACCTGCGGCAGAAAGCGAGGACGTGGACGATGCCATTGCTAAGACGACTTCAAGCGCAAGATTTGGTGTTGAGAGAAACCGAGGGCATCGAAGAAGATGTCCAACTAGGGTTCCGATCAATCACCAGCAGTAGCCGTAGTGGCAGAAGAACAAAGGCGGAACGCGAGAGTGGTCATGACCCGGTTCGACTAATTAGACCGTAAGAGGTCGCAGCAAGCCGGGTTGACGTCATGTCTGTTGGAGTCACCTGCGCCCTGCGCCGGAATCGGGCCGGCTCGGGTATCCACTATCTCATCCGAACCCGGCCGCCTGAGATAGTTTGACCCAGACGCAGACGATACTGAGCCCGTTTTGGGATAATTATTGGGTTCCGTTGGGCCGAAATGACACTAACCAAAAATTGGAAAAATATTCTCAAAAAATTGAACCCGACGTGAATCGAACACGCAACCTTCTGATCTGGAGTCAGACGCGCTACCATTGCGCCACGGATCCGATGTATTAGTGTTTCGAATTTATTTGTTATATTACGAAAATATTCTTCACTAGTAGGTGAAAAAACCCATCGTCATTTTTTAGTCTAAATAGTCTTTTTAAGCCTAATACTTGGAATATCTTTTATTTGATAGCCAATCGCTTATTTATATTTCTCCAGTTTCTTATGGATTGCTATGAATCAATCTGATTACAATATTTTTATACTGTGTTATAGTACTTTCAACGATACTAGAAAACTATTATAATGTAATACAACTATGTTATAGTGTTCTTTGTATAAATTTAATAAAAATATTATGTTTATAATATTTTTAAACTACTTTATTGTGTTTTTGCACTATGTTATTGCAGTACAAAAAAATATTATAACGCAATAATTTTTATATTATGTTATTTTTTTTAGGTATTGTTAAAAATATTATAACTAAACGGATTAATCTTATGGACCAATATATATAAGAAAAAAAAAAAGAGAAAAAGATATATGGGTGGGAGCATTTCATATCAAGGTATGTAACACCATATCATACTGATGTTTCGAGGTTGGCTTGATACGGTACTGACGTATCGAGTGATACACCAAGGGTGTACCGAATAGTTTTATATTTTTTCTTCTTCTTACTGTAGCAATATAGCATTATAGTACTATTATAGTATAATACTGTAGCGCGTTCCGTCCGGTACCGGACGGTCCGTATACCAATATATCGTTTGATCGGTAAGTACCGCCCGTAATGGGTGGCACCATTCGATACTACATACCATGTTTCATATAGTAGAAAAAAAAAAAAAAAAAAGGAAGGGTGAGTAATTCTGAAAATGGGATACTTGTCAAGGAAAAAGTCCCCCAAAAAAAAAGTATTATTTTCAATAGTTCATCCAAAAATTTATTTTATTTTTTTGTGAGAAATGTGAAGGGTTTTTTTTTTGGGTGGGGGTTAAAACTAAGTATTTTAGCTGTTCAAAAAAAGGATGCAATAAGGGCACGGAAAGCCAAAGAACTCAACCCTTTCATAAATGTCAGCTTCATTTAATCCCCGGTCACTCCCTCTCTGTCTCTCTCTCCCTCTCTTCAAGGCAGACATGAGAACCCTTATGACTCCATTTCAAGCTGCTTTCAAATGACAACATTAACTCACCTCTACACTCACCTTTCAAGTGACATCCATCAATGGAAGTCCCTGCAGCTGTACCCTTAACGAGGGTGCCCTCTGTTTCCTTCTCGTTTTGCAAAGCCGTTCATGTGAGCCTTCCCAATGGTCTGCCATGGATCATGTGAAGAACTTCAAGATCATCGGTGCCATTCATTTAAAACCTTTCCTTCGCCACCTCTAATTTAGTATAAATACAGGTAACACTCTGCGTCGCCTGTTCCTTAAATGATCCACCGTTGTAGTCCCATCAGCTCCAGCAGTAGCAGGACTGATGAAGAAGTCCACTGCTTCTTGGTCTGTGTGCTTCCTTGGTGCTCTTTTGCTGCTCTCCACCATGTGCGAAGCATTACGACCGAGTCCAGGCAAGTATTGGATCTTGTTCTCCTTTTGATTCTTCCTCATCGACTCTATAACCGTGTGCTGCTAGTTCTGAATCTCATCTCTCTCAGTAGATGCTACAGCCGGCACCAAGGACAGTGGCAACAGAAGGAAAGAAGATGATGATCTGATGTCCAAGGTATCATATTCCTTTTGGTTCTTCTTTCTATAGATCATCCATGCAACCATTTCGATGTTGTTCTTGATTGCGATGCAGGAAAGTACTGGAGGTTCGAGTTTGCCTGACTGCTCGCACGCCTGCGGGCCATGCTCTCCCTGCAAGAGGGTGATGGTGAGCTTCAAGTGCACGGTCGCCGAGTCCTGCCCCATCGTCTACAGATGCATGTGCAAGGGGAAATATTATCATGTTCCTTCCAACTGAGACAGCACCCTCTCCGTGGCAACGCCAAGAAGATTTATGTAGTTTAGAGACGCTTCTGAGAGATCCTGCGAGTTTGGAGGGTGAGAAAGAGAGGAGCTGAAGAAAGGTGAGAAGTTGCACCAGGTTTTGTAAATGACGAGCATGAGAAATTGACAGTTCTGCAGTGATGTGGTTTGTAATTTATTGCTTTTGAGGTTTTGAGATATAGAAGTAGAGTCGTCTGCGCTAATTCAGCAAAGTTAGCTTCTTCTTGCTGTCATCTCTGAGTCCATGAAACTATCAACTCAAGCTGTCATCTCATTTATAAACAAAGAAAGGAAGAACTCCAAAGGTGTCTTTTGTCTAATAACCACTGTGCTAAAACCGGTTTCAAGAATTCATCTCGAGATCATATTATATTCGTGTTTGCTTCCGGATTAATCTGTGGTTGCAACCCTACCATTTCTCAACAATTCATGGTGGATTCACGGCTTCAAGTTTGCTTCTTCGTGCGCTGACAGATTACCTCATATCCGAAGTTAAGATAGTTGCATAAAAACTTAGATTCGTTTCGCAATATACTTCATCACCCACCTTCACCTCCTCCTGTCAAATGTCCACCATGAAAGTGTGAACAAGCAAGAGATAGAACAGTCTTTCTACGCATTAAAACGGGAAGATTGGGAACGGATTTGATGGAACAGCGACGAACAGAGCAGACTGTATGTGAGCTTCAAAGCATCGCAACATCAGTTGCGAATTCGCGAATCCTACGGCCAAAAACTCTCGAATCCAAGAGTGGGAAAAGCTCCACCGCATGATACGGCATGTGCGGTGGATCTCGCTTCCAACCGGTGTTGCTCATCTCCTTCACCACAGAGATATTTTTGGTCGGGTTGGGATGGGCCCCACCCAAGGTTGGTCGTCGTCTGAAATGGGTGAGAAATTGTATCTCAAATATCAGAGCTTTCTGCTCTCTCCCCATACTCCATGTAGATCCAACATAAAATTCTCATCTTGTCGCGCGCGTTAGATCGAAGTGTAGGGTGTCTGGGCTGCAAAAGAGAGATTTGATCAGGTAATACAAATGCTGAGATGCCTCTTTCCTTCTTTCCTTTCGCTTTTCCCTTCTGTTCTAACCTGATTGACTACATGCTGTAGTTTATATGTGAATCTTGATGCCATGCGTAGGATCTAAATGGAGGATTATTGTCTGAATTTATGGATTGGATGCTCTGTATTTGCTTGTCAATTGTTTTAGGGTTTAATAGCGAAGGGGGCTTTTAATTTTATTCTGGGACTGTTATAGCGGCGCCATGTTCTTGTGAAATTTATCTGCTTCTTGGACTATGAATGGATTATTTTTTCCTTATCACTCTGGTGATCGGGACAAATTTACATTTTGGAGTGAGATGTTCGGGCCATCCATCATTTATTTCTTATTAGCATGTCATCTGTTTCAAGGTTTAGTAAGCGGCTTTCATAGTAGGTGTATGCTCTTGTGAAATTTGCCTACTTTCTTGGATCATGATTTAATCTTGTTCTAATCATACTGGTTATTGAGACAATTTTACATTTTCAAGAAAGTAATGTGATCTCTATTTTCTCTTTGCTAATTTGTGCTAAGTTTGAGATGGATTGTCTGTCATATCTTGATACATGTTCCTTTGGTTACTGAAAAATATATGGTCTAGTGAGCATGAAGAAAATGTGTGATTTTTCCAAGTTCTATTAATATGGATGATATTCTAAACCATGATATCATGTATTGTCTATAAAATCCCCTAAAATTGAGACCATGGACAAAAGATAAAGATGTTGATAGAACTTGGACCGATGTTTCGAACCGTGCATGATACAACCATAAGCTCTTTTGATATGGGAGTATGTCAGTTGCACGTAGTCTTAACTACGATGGAATGGAATTGATTGTCGAGAGAGATGGAATTTAGGATCCACTTCAAACTCATTTGTGGCAGAAGAAAAAGAAATGGAAAAGGTGGATAAAGAAATGGAAAAGCTTATCATCGATCGGATTTTTTTCCCTCAGTATGACTCTCATGGTACTTACTCTTCTTTTAGGTGCTAGTAGTGGTACAATGGGGTTCTTGATGGAGGATCTTCCTGAAGAGTTGCTTGTCAATATTGTTAGGAGAGTAGACCAAACTGCAGATAGAAACTCAATTTCCCTTGTAAGCAAACGCCTATATGCAATCGATGGAGAACAAAGGGATTTCCTAAGGGTTGGATGTGGGCTACACCCTGCGATTGAAGCTCTAACTTCTCTCTGCATTCGCTTCCCGAACATAAAGAAACTAGAAATTGTCTATTCTGGCTGGATGTCCAACCTGGGTAAGCAGTTAGATAACCAGGGGCTTTTCGTGCTCTCTTCCAATTGCCATTCGCTGACAGAATTAACTCTAAGTTTTTGCTCGTTCATTAATGATTCCGGTCTTGCATACTTATCTTCCTGCCGAAATCTTAGATCCCTGAAGCTAAATTTTGCTCCGGCAATCAGTTCCAATGGTATTCTCTCACTTGTCGTTGGTTGTAAGAATCTTTCTGCTCTTCACCTCATTCGCTGCATGAAGGTGAGCAGTGTTGAGTGGCTGGAATACCTCGGTAAGCTCGGAAAACTCGAGGATCTTTCGATAAAAAATTGCAGGGCTATTAGTGAGCATGATCTCACAAAGCTGGGACCTGGATGGAACAATCTGAAGCGTTTGGAGTTTGAGATGGATGCATATTACCGGTACCCAAAAATTTATGATAGCTCATCGGTAGAAAAATGGCTGATGCATCAGGGTAGCTACAAAAATTTGAGAGAGCTCAGCTTGGTGAATTGTATCATAGCTCCAGGCAGAGGGCTTTCATACTTGCTTGGGCGATGCGAGGCACTCGAGAGGCTTCACCTGGACATGTGCATTGCGGTGGAGGACACTGATATGATTGCATTATCTCAGAAGTCTAGAAACCTAACAAGCATGTCAATTCGCCTTCCATCACAATTTCTGGCTCCTGTTTTCCTGAGTAGTCCATTGAGATTGACCGATGAGAGTCTAAAGGCATTCGCTATTAATTGTTCGATGCTGGAAGTGTTTGAATTATCCTTTTCCGATGGGGAGTTCCCGTCCTTCAATTGCTTTAGCCAGAGTGGTATTCTCGCATTAGTTCAAACTTGCCCGATTCGGGTTCTGGTGCTCGACTCTGCTTGCTTCTTTAATGACAGTGGAATGGAAGCTCTTAGCTCTTCCCCTTACTTGCAGACACTCAAACTCATCAAATGCCAGGAAGTTACAGATAAGGGGATGCAGCTTATCCAACGCTGTCCGCTCTTGACTGATCTCAATCTCCGCAAATGTTTAGGAGTGACAGACAGTGGGTTAAAACCACTGATTGGTTTACGCAAATTGAAATATCTAAAGGTAGAAGACTGCCCTCAGATCTCTGAGAAAGGTGTACAAGGAACTGCAATGTTTATTTCTTATAAGCAGGAGTCGTCATGGCTCTACTAAATTAGTCGCTCTTTACGGCAGTCGAAGCAAATTGTGTTCTGTTCTCCCCTCCAACAATGTCTTGATCCGATGATGCCACAAGATTTGTTGTTTTTTTATGTGCCGAATCCTATCTTCCTTCCAGAAAAGAGAGCTTTACTATCAGTAATGTCAGTGACTGCAGGAACTGTTTGTCTGATGTAATTCTTGCTCTCGTCTGCTGTGTAAATTTTAATGAAAATTATAAATAAATATTTAAATATTTTTAAATTTAATTAAATATATGATTCTTTTTAATATATCTCAATAACGATAAAAGTTTCATATAATGCAATTAGAATTTATAATTTTATTATTATTGTTGTCTACTGTGCCTCTATCGAGAAAGGCTCTCTCTAACACCTGTTAAGCTCTCTAAACAGCCCTAATGCAAGTAGAAACAGCAGGCTGCTAGTCGTGAACATTAAAAGTTGGAAGATTGTATCCAACGAGTGCAAAGATGTTTGAAGATTACTGATTTATGTCTCAGTAACACTATTCCTATTTTCCTTTCTTTCTTTTTGGCCTCGAGCGGTCAAACAGTCTCTTCCTTTCATGACAAGGGTGACGAACAACACAAACTTCACTGTCAGAACACCAAAGTAGCCATTAGATTCTCTTGTTCTCTTACTAGATCTCTGGAACTAAAGCTACCCGGTGCCTACTGATAGCTACGAGGAAACATAATATTACATGTTACAACGAGCTATAAGTATCACTCCAACAATGGCGAACACCTTCGACTAGCTGATGTACAACACATTCATTTCTTTTGTTGCATCACTCGCCCTTTTCCTACGTAAACTGCATCATAACTCGGAGTTGGGACGTCGTAAACTATTCTTTTTGCTCTTGTCACTGCGGGATCATCTCCAGGTTCCCATCATTCCAAATCAAATCCATGGGGGAGGGAAAAGCTGCAAGCTCCTTTATGCCTCATGTAATCACTGCCAAATCGTACAGCAGATCGGCAGTGCCCTTCAGTAACAGTAGTACATCATTCTTGCAGCAGCACTCCTCCCCCCTTCCACCCTCTTGCTTGCATGGCGTTTGCCACCCCCGTCATTTCAGGTGTCACCCTCCGCCGAGCTTCGAGACGGCGGTAATCCCACCTACGTAGTGACGACACCACTTCGTCGTGGATATATACCACCCCTCGCGGCGGCACGGTGGTAGTGACCCGAAGTCATGGAAGCTACGACCACCACCACCACCATCACCAGTTCGATTGGCACCGGATCAACGTTGCCTTTCTTCCACGTCAAGACGGAGCCGGGTGAGCCGGCCGGTTCGGTCGGACAGGACCGGCCGCCGGAACTCGATGGGATCGCGGCGGTGGTGGGGTACCACGTGCTCTTCGGGAGGCCGCAGTCGGATTCGTGCACGAGGTCTGCGTCGGCTGCCGGTGCCGAGGGGACCGGGGTCAGTGCGGCCACGCGGACGAGCTACAGGGGCGTCAGGAAGCGGCCGTGGGGGCGGTGGTCGGCGGAGATACGCGACCGGGTGGGGCGGTGCCGGCACTGGCTGGGGACATTCGACACGGCCGAGGAGGCTGCGCGGGCATACGACGCCGCGGCCCGGCGGTTGAGGGGGTCCAAGGCCCGCACCAACTTCACCATTCCTTCCTCCTCTTACATCCCGACGCCCATCTCTACTGCTCCGTCCTCCTCTTCATCCTCCGCTGCTGCCGCAATGATCTCATGTCCTAGTGCAACTCGTAGCAGAAAGACGAACGTCGCCGGTGCCGGTATACCGATGAAGACCAGGAGGAAGAGGAGACAGGGAGATGAGAAGGATGAGAGCAAGAGAAGGTGCAAAACCGTGACCAGATTCGCGCAGCTGTTTAACTCATCTCCTGCAGTTGCTCACGTCGATGGTGGTGGACAACCTTCGACTTGGGACGACCCTAAATGACTCTCATGTTCTTCCCCTGTTAAGGTTCCTCGAGCATGTACCACCGAAGGTTGCATCACACGGTATCTATGTAGGGTTTTCAATCTTAGATCAATGATATCTCTAGTGTTACTGTCTCAAATCCAGGCATTTTTGCATGGTATGGTATATAAGGGAGGGAGAAGAAGTGAATCTGTGCTTTCTGATGACATGTGCTTCTGATTGTTCTTCCTCGGAATCTTCGTCCCCTCCCAACACATGAAACGAAATGATGCAGTATTTATTGCAGCAGTGTCGGATTGAGATCATCCCCATCTCATCCTTCGCACGGATGTGCGTGGGATGGTCGGATGCATAGATCTGTTGATTGGACGGCTCTGACATCACGATGGATGCGTGATGGATGGATGGATGGATGGATGGATGGATGGAATGCATTCGTTCTGTCATCTCTATATATGTGTATACAACCAACAGCTACGGAGGCACCACAAAAACGTATCTGCTTTGGGAGGTGATGTCGTATGATAGTATCGCCTGTCCGTCACGTATAAGATGCGCTTCCGTCACCCAACGAGCCTAAATCACGTGACACCCACGCAACCTCGACAGTAGTAATAACAAGTCCACATACTGAATGCTTTAGTAGCAGCAACATTACAACTTAGCCTTCCCAGAGAACAAACATTTGGAAGTTAGGAGGACATGATCAATTCTTCATGAAGCTTCGGGCATTGTCGTCACCCTGCATTGCTAAAGCAGTTTTAGACCATGGAGGAAGAAGCTCCTCGGCTTTACTTTGACTGTAGATAGACACGCACCTCTTACGTTTACTCTTGAGAGAAGTAGAGGGGGAAGGGTTGCTCTGCCAGTTCCTCTTCCTTTGGTTGATGAACCAGTTGTTGATCTGCTTCAGTTGCAACCCTGTTTGCTGCACCAGTCGAGCCTTGTCATCTTCCTGAAGGATTCAAAGGGAATGTATCAGTTCGTGTAGGGAACTTCGAGGTAGAAGATGACTGGAGTTGGTGTTGCGTACAGTAGGGTAAGGCCATTTGGAGTGGGACTGCCACCATGCTTTCAGAAGAGTAGTAGTGTCTCCTGGCAGCTTCCCAGCTCTTCGCTTCCGTAGTATCTCTTCTCTGATGTCCATAAGCTTCTCTTTGTAGCCCTACGATGACACAACGCCATTGGCAACTTCACATGATGTATGGAGACGGCTACTGTGTGTGTGTGTTGTGTACCTGCTTCAGCTCATGCTTCAGCTCCTGCCTGACGCGTTCCATCAAGGAGCGCTCTCTCTCGGTGGGAAGACCAAACCCCATGTCCTCAGTTCCATCCAAACTTGCGTCGAACAGGGTGACGTCGCCGTCTGCTTCATCTTCCTCGTCATCGGACATGGTCGCGCCGGTCCCTTCACCTGGAGAGACACCTGCAGAGACAACGTAAACTACACTCAAACTTTTCCTCCGTATCCACACGAGATCAAGCGAAATAAAACAAGAAACAGAGACTATTAAAGCTAAGCTCTCTGATCAATTGATCATATCAGGAGTTCCAGAGCTGCTGATCACCGGTCAAGCTTTGCAGGTTCTGCTCAAGCTCCCAACAGGCCATCACCGCATCCATTGCGTGGACACGAACATGCTGCTGTAGTTGCTCCTTGAACGAACAGAGCAACAACACATAGTTTGCCTGGTTGGAGAAAACATTAAGAATCAGTTGAAGCTCTAACATAAAATCTACCTCAAATGTCAGGCATAAGTCCAAATTTAGCAAGACTCAAACTTAGGTTCAGAGATCTTTAATCTATAGGATTTTGCATCTACTCTCTCTCTCTCTCTGTTTCAATAAACAGCGATGTAATCTGGTTGCTTTGACATCATTTGGTAAAGATATCTACAAGGAGATGATAAAAGATGCAGTTGAAGTACTGAAGCGATTACAGATTCCAAAAACGTTTTCCATTATATTTTTTTTATATAGATAGAAATGAGAAACAGTAGTGGATGTTAAACGGGATTTTCGATTTGGTTCAATTGTAATGGCCATACGCGCTCATCTGTATTCGCTCATCAGTGACTGATACCCTCTCAATGTCTCCACCAACTGGGAAAGAGACTGTGGATGTACTACTTCTCACGGCTGCAAACTTTTACCAATCCCAATGGAGGGAAGGAGGTTGGTACATGATAAACCACCTCAGAGTACAAACCACTGAAAGAAAAAACATACTATATGGGTTGCTGATTATTAAGCAGATTTGCAAGAGAGAGAGAGAGAGAGAGAGAGAGAGAGAGAGAGAAGAAGAAGAAGAGA